GCCTGGCGCAATATGGTTCATGGGGTCACAAAGAGTCGGACACGACTTAACGACTGAACAACAACAACAACAAAAATGAATTAAAATGTGCTTGCAGTCCTGTTCAATGTAAGCCCAGAAATATTTGTTTTAATACCATTTTTTCTCAGAGCATAATTACATGTATATTGTTACAGTGCTGGATTCTTGGTAATCATAACAGCTTAGCAAGACTGAAAAGTGATATTCCTTACTTTTTATAGTTCTCATTCAGATCTAATCAAACACTTATATTTTAACACAATGGTACACAGAAACATGAACTAATTTTGACTGAATAATGCAATTGTGTTTGTTATGCCATGGTAGAACATTAAGCAGCTCTAAGTTTGTGAGGAAATCATGCTATATTTCTTATCTGCAGCATTTTTTAATATGGGCTATGTTTTGAATTACAAGTAGTCCTTGCTTAACAATGGTAATTGGGACTGGAATTTCCATTGCTAAGTGATGCGGTAGTAAAGCACAATGTAACATGGCCTCATCACTTACCGATAGCAATTGCGGCAGTCCTCATTACTATTGTTAAGCGAGGATCATGGGTCATTAAGTGAGGACCTCAGGTAACCGCATCGTGCAACTTCTTGCCGGCTTCCAACAAGCAAAGTCAGTGGGGAAGCAGGCAGGAAGTTGCAAGTCCTGGGCAGCTTGCAGGCAACAGGGAGGTGACTATTATGGAGTGTGGGTGGGGGGGTTGTGATATGAGTGTAAGCAGGGGATGGGGTGCTGTGGTGCTGCGCAGGTGGGTGGATGTGTACTGTGGAATGCAGGTGGGGAAGTGCTGTGGGTGGGTGTGCACTCTGGAGTACGAGATCCCTGGCTCTGTAGCAGGCTCCTCAGGAGAAAGAGCAGTGGGAGCAACTTGCAACCTTCCGTACTGGTTCCCCACTGACTTTGCTTGTGGGAAGCCGGAAGGGAAGGTTGCAAATGGTGATCATGTGACTCTGGGATGCCGCAACCGTTGTAAGCTCAAGCTGGTTGCCAAGTGCCTGGATCATGATCACGTGACCATGGGGGTGCTATGACAGCCAGAATTTTGAGGACCAGTCATAAGTATCACTCGTTCAGCACCATTACAACTTTGAATGGTTGCTGAGCAAGTTGGTTGTTAACCAAGGACTACCTGTAGAAGCAATAGTAGGCAGCAGAACCTAACTGATCTTGGTTTAATTCCCCAAAACTGAGAAGGGTCATATTTATTTAGTACTTAGATAGGAAGCTACCAGAAAAATCTCAGGGCTACTAGACTAGATGGAGAAGTTAAAAAAAACTTCCAGGAGAAGGCAATGCAATAAAACTATTGCTTTATTATTGCCAAGAAAACAACATAGATGTTTCTACATAGTTACCAGGAGTCAAACTCAAAGTGAAGGAGTATGTACCTTGTTTTATGATTTACACTAAATTAAATATTGACTTCACTCTTTAAAACCTCCTATGAGATAGATTCTCAAGCAGAAATACATTGCTACCAGTCAGTAGGAATATTGCTAACAGAGATTGAATTAACAATTTTTAAAGTCATTTCCAACTCTGTCATTCTTTGAGACCACAGATTACAGTTGAATTGTATATGTTGTCACATTTTTCTGATATATAAAGGGAATGCTAGCATTCATGTAGGAAAAAATCAAGTAATCCTACTGCTTTTAAAGGGTGGTGGTAGTAGTGGTGATGTAGCCTGTTTATGATTTGGGATTCCTGATAGGAATCAGGAGATAGACATCTAGAATTCAAATGAAGTCCTTAGGCTGTTTTGTGACTATATATTTTAGATTATATTACACTTAGAATGTCTTTGCACATTGTATGCTCATGGTTGAGTGAGAGAGACAAATAAGAAGGAAGAGAAACAGATCTGTTTACAATCTTATCCTGTGCATATTTCCTTAGAAGTTCTTTAAGTCCTTTACTTCTATGAATATTTTATGGCCCAGATGGTGGCCCATGGTGATGTTAAAGGATATGTATGCATTCTTTTTTGGAACAATAGTAGAAACTGTCTGCTCTTCATATCTTCTTTACACAGGAAAAGAGCAAGTGTTGTTGGAAAATGCTAGATTGACTTCACTACTGTATTAGCCAAAAAACGTATTAGTAGCCATTTTACTATCTGAATTGCTTGTTTTTTGTTTTTAGATTTGGGAATGGATGATGAAGGGGATGATGATCCTGTTCCTCTTCCAAATGTTAATGCAGCTATACTAAAAAAGGTAATAATTCTATTTTAATAAAATATAGAAAGTGAATTTTTAAACTGTTAATCTGGTTGCACAGTACAAATACATTTCTAGCCTGAAGCTAGAAATGAACTTTTTTCACACGATGTAATTAATTATTGGCAGTCATCCAACAATTGTTTCCATAGAGCAGTAAATTATCC